AGAAAGAAGTGTTGTATGAAATTCAAAATGTATTATTTTTAAACGAAAAATGTTTGAGAAAAAAATTTCTTAAGAAAATGGGAGAAGTGTTTGATAAAAATATTTAAATAGTTTAATAAAGTATTGAAAGTCCAAATAGACCATTTGAATGTTGAAATTAAGAAGAATAATTTGTTTATGATACTTGCCAGAAAAAAGTAAAATTAAAAAAAATAAGTTACATCTTAAACTAAGGCAACAATATAAAATATTTAAGTTAAATTTAATATTTACATTGAACATCTGTATTAAAATGGTACACATTGTGTTAGTAGGTAGGTAAAGTAAAATTAATACTTTATATAATGTATATATATTTTTCCAGGGTTATTTGTTTGATCAAACATTTAATATTATTAATAATGTTAACATATTAAAATTTCAAGTTTAGATATAAAGTGTTATATACACTTTTTGTATAGTAGGTACCTTATATTTGTTGAGTAGAGTGTTTTATTCAATAAAATTGTGTACTTTAGTATATTATAAATTTAAGACAACATTGTTATTATTATTATTATTATTATATGAATCATAACTTCTTATTATAATTTAATAATAATTGAAGTAAATATATGCGAATTTTTTTTTGATGATTTTATAGTTATTAGACTTAAACTTTTCACTGTATACCGTTTATTTTTTCAATTTTATTTTTAATCAATTAGGAGAATCTTATACTTAGTATAATAGTTTTATTATAAAAATGTTAGTCATTTTACTAAATTTAAAGTAAAAAATATAACTGTAATATTTTGTTAAAATATTAAATATAACATTCTAAAACGAGCTAAATTAAATACATAAACCACAATATTTTTTTAGAACGAGCTATTTAAATTATTTTATAAAATTATTCCTATAAAATGTATTTCAGTATAGCTATTATAATCGGAAATTGTCTGGAGAATGTCAAAAAGAGTTAACAAATATTTATTTGTACTCATTTATTTATTTATATTTATTTATTATTAATTTAAACTTTTATTGTCTGGTGTTTTAATCAATTTAAGTTTCGGCAAGATGAAATATATAATATATACTACTTTACTTGAAAGGAACAACTTTGTAATTTGTTTTCTGTTTCCATAAGAATACTATTTTTATTTCAATAATTTGGATTTGTAAACACATGAGCAAATTTAAAATTTAACCATATAAGTTATAATGATAAGTAATACCATTTTGTGTACACATTAATCATATTATAGGCTTCCAATTTGTTTCATTATGTCGTTGGAAATACTGTCGTATAAACAAAAGCATCACTCAAATCTTTGTCACATCATGCGTATACCAAGAAGGGCACGACTTTAAACATGAGTGATGTGTTTGAATGGCATATTATTATGCAGTAGTATGTTTTAAATTTTGTAACTTTATAAGTAGTTTGATATTAAATGCAACATACTCGCAAGTCATAAGGGCTCATAAATTAAAAGGCAATAAATTCGTTTTTTGTCCGTTTAATAATAAAATATGAATATTTGAAACACGATTCCTGACGAAGAAATATTTATTAAGGAAATAGTTTAATTTTTATTGCTATTACCAATCGATATTATTTGGTTTATTTGATAAATATCCACGACGTAGGGACAACGTAGAAGACAACTTAAGACTTTTAGTTTCAAACATGGAGCCCGGTATTGACGTCCTGATCCATTCAACACAGCATAAACCGTCTCATTAAATCATTCGTTCGTATTCATTATAATTAATAATAATATTTTTACGTTATGTGAATTGCATTAAGCGTGTTAAATGCTTATGTATTTATATAGTTTAAATTAATAAAATTAATTATAAAAAATACGCTTCATAAATGTAAGATAATGTCATTTCATTTGTTGACAAGTAGTATATATAAAAAAAAAAAAAAAAAAGGTTATCAAGTGTCAAGTGGTACGCGAAAACGGTTCGAAACGCGTAACCGGTACGTGGATGTAAAAAGGTTAAGAACCGCTGTTTTCAGTGTGCTATCACTTTTGACGTGTTGCAAATATTATGCACGGTGAGCACACATGACTTGTGCAAATATTTGTGTACCACGGGAGATGGTATCGCGCAAATTGGCTTCGATATTAAACTCCGGGGCATCCGTGAAAGTAATACATAAGTGTTATATTGTTCAAACCGTGCAGGGGCGAGGGTTGGAAGGTGGAGGCGAAATCAAAAGTTTTAATAGTAACACGGCTAAGACAACAGGTGCGAAACTTACGCGTTTCCGAATTAATTGAAAACGGCGACGGTAATAATAACATAATATCGTAACGTTTTCGCGCCGATGGTGACCGCCGCGACGGGACCGCACCCCCGGCCCTACGTCGGCTTTTCGTGTCTCCGTACCACCGTTCGTATTGATATTGCGTTATTTTATTAGAGAGCCGTCGCCGTCGGTTTGTCCGGTCATTCTTTAATATCGCGGTCGCAGTGCCCACCCTCAACGCCGTAGCGCGTTCATCCCCCACCCGGATCGAGATCCTTCGTTTCCGACCCGCGCACCAACAATGCGTATTAAACCGTTAACGAATACCAATACTCTCCAGCGAAACAATATGGCATGCACGTAGCATTCGAAATCCGTTTTCTACGCGACCACGACGAAACGGATTAATTCGGAGGGTTTTTTTTTTCTTTCTTTTTATCGCCAATTGAATTTTATCGCAATCGCCGTGTACCGATATTGATATTGTCAATCACGTGCTTTTCAAGACGAGACTTTTTCCGGCGTTGTTATAGCACGCGTTAAAATGCATTGTTGAAATATGGATGCTCAATTTAACCGTAGTCAGTTAGTGCCTAGGTCAGCTTTGATGTGCAGAATTCGTCTCTCCGTCCGGTCCCAGCGTTCGAACCGGACCGCCTGAACCGTACGGCGACTTCGGAAACTTTTAATCGCGTACGCATTACAATGCATTTCAATACACGTTACAGTATCCCGCCAATAGTCGCATGTTTCTTTTCAAACGACAATGAACGACAATGGAATTAGGATGTTTTAAAAATAATACGACGACAGACATGTTTGACGTGCGATTATTAGTTATTGAATATACTTCAAGTTCGAGGTGAGATACGAAATCGTTAAAAAGACGCATTACGTTATTGTCATTACGTGACAGTTGAACGTTTTAGAATGTTTCCATGATTCTGCGAAAAGTACTTCAATTTTGAACCCCAATTAACGATATACAATATGTACAAGTTATTCTATTCATATATTTAAAAAAAAATCAAAATGTTAACTCTTTATTTCTCTATTTAATTCCAAACTTAGTATGTACTTTAAACTATTAAAAATCAGTTAGGTAGTTTTGAATCTTAACAAAAAAAAAAAGAAAAACCAATGAAAAAAAAATTTTTTCAGCAATTACTATCTGATTTATTTTATCTAATAATATTAATTCAAATACATTTACATTATGTGCATCAAAATCAATAAGAATATTGTATTTTAAATAGATATTTTTACTCATACAAGCTGTACAATTTTTTAATATTCTCACGGTACTATCTTGTTGCTTGGATAGATGAAAATAATTTATTCCTGGTTATAATATTGCTATAATTAATATTTTAAAATTATAAAATTTTTAATGCATTTCCATAGTTTTCTAATACCTATTTTAGAAACGAATTAGAGAAATTGAAACTAATACATAATCATAAACTATTAATTATTATTATTATTATTAATATTTATCATATAGACGGGCCTAAAATTTAAACAATAAATAATGTAATAATATATAAATCATTAAAACTTTAAGGATACTTTGGAACAAATAAAACACCTATTTGGACATTCCTATTTTGTATTGTTGTCTACTTCGGTCATTATTTAAACTGAATTGTTCGACAATTCTCGAAACTAGTCAAAAGTGAAAATTTAAAAATTTAAACGACATGTATTTATTTTTACTATTAGAACTCTCAAAAATTAGTAGTAATTTCAACAAAACACATGCGATTAATTTTTATGATTGTAACTATGCAAAATTTAATTATTCAAATAATATTTTATTACACATAATGGTCTGTAATAACATTGTATTGCAAATATTTATAACGGGTTCCGATATAGAAAACTATTGTTGGGTATAAACTAAAATGAAGTATGATAAATCAATAATTTTTTTTTTTTTTAAATTTAAGGAACATTATTTTAACCTATTTTATTTTATTTGTATCTTACTAAAATATAATTTACTAATTTTGCTGTGGTTAGTATTATGATTAATTTGTAAGTGTATGTGTGTGTGTGTTTATTTGAAAGTGTTTAAAGTCATGAATCGAGAATTACTAATTTTTACTGCATCTGTAAACACCCCCATTTTTAAAATTGTATTTTATATTTTATTATTTTTATTTACATTTAAGTTAGTTGACGCATTTTATTTTTTAATTATTTAAACAAAATGCAAGTTTGAAATTATTATAATTTTTTTTATTTTGAATACACAGTAGATCTTTAGTTCATCTCAACTAATTAGGATCGCACCTAAAGACATTGGAAATGGTATTAATATACATATAATATACATTTTACTTTTTGATAAATATTTAATATTATTATAGTCGTATATTTTCATTCCAATTTTAAATTTAAATTTAAAACCATATAAAGTAACCGATTTGTTTTCAGTACATTTATAAGCCTACATTAACCAATTTACAATGGTACGATTTATAAGGTTTACAGTTTTTTGCATTTAGCTTTAATTTCAACTCAATCTTCTTTTTTTTTTTTTTTGTCTACACATACATATATATTTACATAAGGGTGGTTTTTGTTTGTAAATATGTTTTTGTTCTTTGAAAAACCGGTAAATGATTGCTTACCTTTGGGTAGCCATGTACACCATATTGTGATATAGTAGTTAGTGAACGAACATTAAATAATCGAATAAAAACAAAAACAAAAATAAAAATTTATAATTTATGAAATTGAACATTACCAATATCAAGTACGTTGGCTAATAAACTTCTCGATGATCTCTCCCGCAACTCCATGCCCCTTCGATCTGTATACCTACTTTTGATGGCTTTGAATGATATGTCTTTACCTGGTCTTTGCATACACAAAATCCAAGGTAACCACAGCAAGAAAAAGCACTTAACCTAAAATAAAATAATAATAATTCAATGTCTATGGTTAATACGATTCATACCACATCTAAAACAGTGTAAGATGATTAATGCTGCGGCTTAACAAATAATTAAGACGCAGTTGAATGCAATATTTACTTATCAAAAGTGTATTTGTTATTTTCATCCCAGTGAATAATATTGGAATAAATAATTATTGTTATATAAATATACATGTTACCGGCAAAGACGTAGATTAAGGAATTGACGTAATTGCTTAGCCAATAATAAAATTTCCAATCAAATTTGACAATATACGATAAAGACTAAGAAGTAACATTGATGTTAATTATTTTCAGGCAATGATGCATTTAAAAATATTTCCTAGGTAATGATTAAAATTCAGACGTAATTGATAAAAATCAACTATTTGTTTGTTAAATAAGAAACGACCTAGCGTCGTAAAATCGATTTATTAAATTAAAAGAAGTTAACGTGCGTGAAGCTGCTGTGGAATCGTGAGAACAAAAGGATACTATTGATGTATTTATAAAACAGGATACAAAACTAATATATGTGCTTGTAAGAAATTAATTTTCTTTGCAATTCAAAGCGTCATGGCACAGTCAATTGTGAAAATTAATAATTACATTTAATTTATCTAGTATTAATAAATATTTAATCTTATTTTAATATTTCACTAAATACAATTATAAACATTTTCTATATGTATTAGAAATGTAGTTGATTTCGTAGTCATAGTTGTAAATGTTTGATTTATACAACGTTGCTTATGCTATCAGTTAATGCCTAAGCATTGACGATATTGTCTAATTAACCTGTTAATCATGTATGATATTGACTACGAATTTACGTTGTAACATAATTTACATAATTGACGGTAATATATTTATACGCATTTTGTAATGAATAAACAAATGATAGTTATGAATATTGAAATATTGAATACATCAGTGCGAGTAATAGATTGTAACGAAATACAACAACACATCATTTACCCAGGGTCCCATAGTGTGTATGTCAGCTGTTCGATGATGATAGTTGAGTACCACCAACGTGAGTACTACCGACGAAGCCACCATAAACATGATGCAATTGAAGTAAGTACCTATGGAAAAAGTTATGATTATTACATATTTTTTTTAATGTGTACATTTTATAATAAGGATCAGAGCATTTCTTAATGAAAGATATTATAGGTAATTTATCAAAGTGCTCTAAATAATTGTTCTCAATGATAACTTTGTGTATGTTAAGTTTAAATTTAAATAAAGATAATACTGTAAAGCATGATAGTTATTAAAACGTAAAAAAAAAATAATATAAATAAAAAAGAAGGCATGCTTAATATCTATAATTTGTGTATGCACGCATAATAATGAAGAAAATAAAACTAATTCCTACAGATAGATGATTGAAAAAATTAATATTAGTCATAAAGTAAAACTAATAATTGATAGTTCTCAATTTATAAAAATGATTGTGGCTCAGTGTATTTACCAGTAATTTCAATCGACTAAAATCAATTGAAATATAAATAGCATAGTATAGAATCAAAATTGTTATTAATTATCTATACAAAAAAATGTAAACATGTGTAATTTACCATTTTTAACAGATTATTTTTCAATAAACTGTAATATATATATATATATATAGGTACATTAATCTACCAGCAATAGTTATATTCAATATATATTTATGATATGTATGCACTTCAATAATTATATAAGATTTGAAATACATGTAAATATTTTTCGAATTATTAATTTCAGGTAAAATAATTTAAATTTCAACAAAATAATTTAGACATCAATATTTATTTAATGCAGTGGTTGTGCCTCAATGGATTTAATTAAATGTTAAATTTCTTAACATAAAACTGTTGTAAAAAAAAAATGTAATAAAAAGATTTTAAATATAAGTAAAAAATGTATTTTATTTTTAATACAAATTTTTAATTGATGATATTTCAACAAAACCAGCAATACGTATACATAAAAACAAATATATCATCGAAGTCATTAAAAGAAACGATAATTTTAATTATTTTTTTCTAGGAATATAACACACTAAAAATAATATTTTTCGATTTCTATTATTTAGATTCTAAAATATTTTTTTATTTATTTGAGTTGATTTTAGTTGTAACACGTATTGTATAACAATTTTCATTTATGCATTAGTAATTACCTACATTTCTAACACTATTGTATATCTATTTTATGCTTAAAAAGCATATAAAAATTTAAAATTTTTACAATAATATAAGTATTTTCTAATACTCACTAAAGTTCATATAAAAATGATATAAATATTGTTGACTAAGCACACACTTAAAATCTTAACAAATAAATCTATTATTGTCTTAATGTCTACGGTCTTATATGTATACATATAATTAAATCAAAATAATATGGTAATAATATTATTACTTGTGTACCTATTAATATATATATATATATATATATATATAAATATACTATTTCACTAAATAAAATAAAATTAAATACACACAAAACAAAACATAAATATAGTAATATATCCTACTAAAAACATTATATTAGTTTTAATTTGTGTATATTTTTTTAATACTCAGTTATTATTTCCTCGTAGTCAGATCAGTTGATACTTGGAGTGAGGTAGTATGTATATCAACCACAAAATATTATTATTTAATGTTTCAGTTGAAACTGATTTTAGCAATAGTATTATTTAAATTTTAGTTAAAACATTTTTTTTTTATTTAAATGCATATTTTATGTTATTTAAATATTAATTAAAAAAATAAAATGTAATTTATACAGCCTGTGTTAGACGTTAGTCTTAACTGACAAAACATAAATATACACACACACAATATTATACTAAAAGTAGAAAATGAAACATCAAATATTTATTAGTGTTATGCAGGAAAAATGATAGGTTATATATATTGAATAGAAAATGGAGGAATGTAGTAAAGTTTATGTCACATAATGGAAATCGACTAAGTCAAATTTACTTAAGTTGTTTATTTGCTCTTATTTCATACAGAAATAAATAAGTAAATAAATAAATAAATATTTATAATATATATTTATACATATATAAATATATCTGTATGAGGTTTTAAGAGAAGATAAAACTGTGTGACATGTGTGCCAGATTCCATAATAAAGCGTAGCTAGTAACTCAAGTCACGTTTTATTTTACGGTTTTCCACAAAAAAGAAGTCCAAAAATATCTTGAAAAAAAATTGTTTAAATATTCATAAAAGTTATTAAATTACATGTATAAGAGTGGTTGGACTACTTCTGATAGTAGGAATAAAATTTATAAATAAATATATATATATATATATATTGTGTAATTCTTATATAGTAAAATACCAAAATGTATAAATTATCAAAAATATTTGATTTCGGTTTTTATGGCAGTGAAAATATTTGAATAAATTATCCGCCAATATAGGAATTTAGCAATATGTTTTGTGATATATATGTATATAAATATATTCAAATCATTCTGCAGTGAAATATAATGTTAAAATATTCCAAATTTCGTAACTATTTATAATTTAGAAATTTAATTTAATTATGTATTTTAAATACAATTTTTGTATTATGTAATCATTATTGAGATATGTCATTGTTTAAAAATAATTTTAGAATTCACTTAATTCAATCGATCCAACCAAATTTACATTATCTAATAATGGAATAATTGCCTTATTGAAGCAAAAAATAATTATAGTTGTAATATAAATCAATTTTCGGTTAAAATACAATAAGTTTGAATCTTAAGTTCTAGACTCAACTTCATAATCTCCAATCACTATTCTTAAATTTGATGTATTATGATTTTCCAAGAATGATCAATTAAAAACTAGTAAAAATAAATTACAATCATTTAACATTAAAATCCATGCTTTAAAATCTTGCTTTTATTTCTCTGAAGCTTTTACTAGATTTATTGGGTCATATATAAACAGAAGATTATATTTCGAAATAAAGGTTTTTTCAATAGAAGTGTGAAATCGTCCATATAATATCTAATTATGGCGACGGATTGTTGTTAAATATTTCATAAGCTAATTTTTTTTAAAATTATTTATTTAACATTTTACTATAAGCATCCTTTTCTTTTTTATCATGATATTTTCTACGAGGTTCTCAATGAGGGTTTTTTTTTGTAATCTTTTCATTACAATATAGATGTGCTAAGATTATAGAAGCAAAATACTAAAATTAATGGTCGAGATATTAAAAAAGAATGATTGTCCCTATAAGTAATATAAATGTATTGATCACCATGCCCGTGAACATCAATATAAGATACTACTCAACCAGATATTTTTCAACATGATATTATATTAAAACACTACTAATATAAGTAGATATATATAATATACATTTTAAATTAATTAAATCGATGTTAAGCATAGTTATTAAAATGTATTACGATGATAAATTAATTCCATTTGATACATAAGTTTCAAATCCTAAGAGATTCTAATGTAACCTTCTATTTTACTACTTATAAAAATTCAACGATAAATAGGAGGTATTACAATACTTTATTCATGTATTTCATTAGAAAAGATTACAACTTTCGTGGATCATCATACTAATCTCTTACGGTTTCAAAGTAAAATTATATTGATTTTTGTTAAGAAAACTTTAAATAAGAATCTCAAAACTCAAAACCAACGACGCAAATTAAACAAAGAGTACATTTTAAACTATCAGGCATATAAATATTATTAAATTGTTTCAACGATGACACTAAACATTTTTAGTAAAGTAAATTGGTATGAAGTTTAGTTTTGTTTTATTAAAAAAAAAAAAAAAATTAACATAATACACGTATACTGTCCAGTAATAAATAATCCATTATTTTATTAGAATAAGTCATTTGTCATTTAAATAATTCCTGAAATGCATTAATTTATTATGATGTCAAGCATAAGTTTTACAATAAGTTAAAAATAATTAAATGTTGTTATAAAATAAATTAAATATGTATTTAAAGTATTATATTTTATTTTTAATCAGATTGATATTTATTAATATTATTATTAATTATTATTTATAAAAAAAATTTATAAAAATCATGTTTAGTTAATAATTATATTTAATTAAAAAAAAAAAAAAATATTAATTTATCATTATACTTACATTATTTCAAACTAATTAGATTTTGTCGACAACTGAGTCAACATTTTTAAGAAGAAAAGAAATAAATCGAAGAAATTATTTTCTTCCTTGATAATTAATTTAAATTTGAATGAATTATTATTCTCATTGCATTAAAATGTAATCATTTCGTAAAACATAAATAATTCGTAACTATAAATGTATTACTAATAAATTAAGAACTATTGTAATATTTCAATGGTTTACAATTACACTTCATGAACTCAGTTATAGTTTTATTATTTTTAAACAGTTTATATACATAGAATTCGATCATTATTTTGTCTATGAATTTAGAAATCTCTAAAATATTCTGAATTTAAGGAAAAGAAAAATTTTTCTTTGCATACTAACAATCATATTATCGAATGCGTAATGCGAAAACCACTTTATCTATCTGAAGTAGTTTTACAGTTATGTATAACGAAAGTTTGATATGTGTATCTCTAATAAGCATTGTAGTAAATAATGATACATTTTGGTTATGATACTGTATGGTATCTATATCACTAGTCTTATAATTCATTTAAAATAGCAAACGTTGAATTCATACTAAATTTTACTTAACGTTGTATTGTAATATATTTGTATTAAAATCATGTTTGTTTAATTTAAATACCTTCACTATAGTGTATACCCATAGATAGTGAGTATATCATATATATGGTATGTATACACTGTATACAATATGCTGTATAAAATATGTGCAGTGGATAAAGAACACCTGTTTTATTAATGGATAGGATAGGTTAGACCTTTATTAACCCGTATTTTAGCAAACCATAAGGTTTTGAATAAGAAATCTACTTACTGTAAATTCAAGCTCTCTCATATGAATTTAGATATTCTTATTTTGTAATTATTTTAAAAATCAAAATAATTTTAATGATTGTGTTATTAAGTTACATACTTTAAAACCACTGGTTTTGAACCATCCGACAAAAGAAAAATAAACAATAAAAATTATTTAATGTGTACCTTGTAAACTGTGACATAATAATTATATATCATTTTTTTAAAAAACATTTTGCTAAATTTCAGTGCAAAAACAAATCAATAGGAATTTGAATTGAAGAGTATTCTATATTTAATTTAATAATTCACTCTTTTTACGAAAAAGTAAAACAGATTTAATAACACTTCATGACTCATGTTGATATGTTTCATATTTTCAAGAAGCTTTTGTACATATTAGTAACTATGTATATATATTATTGTAAATTAATACAACTATTAAATAAGTAAACAAAAATCATCGATTTCTTTTTATCATTTATATGTTAGTAAAAATAAAAAATAAATAACGCGTGATATATTATAAATATTTTTTATGTGTGGTTTTCAAAATCAGGATATATCTAGGTTCTTATTTATACTATGTAAAGGGAATATATAACTTCATATGCAGGTTTTTTTTATCCCAAGAGGCTTAATATTGACACAGAGTATGAATTATTGCAAAAGATTTATTATAAGGTGAATAAATGAATGTTGTTCACGATGGACAAGCAAATTCCAACTTAAAAACAAATATTACATTCTATGTGTTTTACTTATTTTTATTGGCATGCAAAAAATGTACAAATCTGTAGTAAAGAAAATAGCGAAAATCAGAAAAGACAAAAAAAATATATATATATATACATATACATTTATATATATATGTATATATATATATATATATATTAATAATAATAATAAAAAAAATGTATTTTGTAAGAAAAGCTGACTGAAAGTTTAATATAAAAGTGTATAATATATGGTATAAAAAACAATAATATATGTATTTCAATATCTGATTGAAACAGGGTGTGACAAAGATTTGATATATGGTAAACAATACGTCATTTAACATATTTTTTAAAATATTTTCAACAGTTGAAGTTGTTCAGATGTATATTTAATTGATATGAGGTTATTTTTTGGTTATAATAAAAATATATATATATATGATAATAAAATACCTTAGATAATGATATACTTAAAAGAATTATGTTAAATAATATTTATTCTATATTGTTTAGAAATATAAAACATGGAATTAAACATTTTAGATTTTTAACTAGGTACCTTATGTAATTAAACCATGGGAAAAATCTACAAAAATCTAAATAAAATTGTTTCTATGAATTATTTTCTAAGTTTAATCCTTCTTCTCTTTCGTCTTTCTCCTAACTATTTGTAGTCAGCCACTCTTGTCCTAAACCACAACTCGTTTTAGATTTCTACATCCCATACGCACACACCAAAGGCCCTCAGATCATTCTCAATCGTATCCAACCATCTCTTTTTTGGTCATCTTCATCCTCATTTCAGTTCAATATTCAATTTCAAAACAACTTTTACTGCTTTTTTACTTCTTGTCTCATCATAAGCACAAACCATCTCTATTTTCTCTCATCATGTTCATTATAGATCCTACATAAATTCTACCTCTCACATATTCATTCATTATTTTATCTTCTCTTGTCACTCCACTCGTCCATCTAAGCATAACAATTTCCGTAACAATCATACTCTGTTCTATTATCCTGTTAACCGCCCAATACTTTGAACCATATAGCATAGTTGGTCCCACTAAATTACTGAAAAATTTACCTTACAGTCTTATTGGGATTCTCTTATCACATAAAGCACCCGACTTTTTTCCTCTATAGTTCCCAAGTTCCTGTATGTCTCCTTTGCCTTTAAATATTGGTACAATTAAACTGTTTTCCTAATCTCCTGACATTTTTCCCTACATTAACACCTTATTAAAAAGATCTTTCAATTATCCAAGGCTTACATCCCCTAAATTTTTCTACACCTGTACAGGCACTCATCTTGTCTTACCACTTTTTTTCTTTTTCATCGCTTTTGCGAAACCTTCAGTTCCTTATCACTAACTAGACAAATCAATCCTTCATTCCATAAAATATTCTCTAAATCTTCTTTTGGATAATTTTCGTTCGATAACTTCTATCATTTGTTAACACCCTATTTTCCTCATTTTTTATACATCAAACATTTTGAAAGTCCCTGAATCGTTTTTTCTAACCTTTGTTTGCCTATACATTTATTTTTCTCCTTCATTTGTTCCTAGCCTCTCATATAACTTAACATATCCATTCAATTTTGCTTTAGTTACCGCTATCTTCTTTATTTAACATACATTTTTATACTCATTTTTTTAGTATTAATAATTTGAAAAATATCCTTTGTTCGCATAATAGGTGAGCTTTACTTTAAATTCTTTTTTGAACTAAATTATTTATTTTATATTCATTATTTCATTTAAAAATTTTAGAAATACTTTTAGATTAACGTACACATCTTATAAAATCAATAGTTTTTATTTCTTCTACTTAAAAATGTCATCATTAATTAATCATTTTATTCAATATTTGTTCAGTTCTTAAAGAAGTTTAATATGAAATTTGGTTTTTATTTAAAGAATATTATATTTTTAAACTTATAGTTATATATTTTATTTCATTGCATAAATTAAAATCTAAAGATTTACTTATTTTATAAAGCAATATTACATTTTGATTAGGTAATATAAGAAATATTTAAAATAATAAAATATTTAAATTAATATAATGCGTATAGAATTGACAATTAAAAAAAAAAAAAATTCTTTATAAATCAAAACCATATCCATTAATTTAGTAAAAATGAATTAAGTCATTATATTACCTATAGATAATTAAAACCTTAAGCATTATAACTATAATTATTCTTTGCATTGAAAACCAATTCTTATAAATGCTTTAATACTTGTCACACCCGATACGAAATAAAGTGATTAGATTGCAGACCAAAAATATAGGAAGATTGTTAGAACACAGAGAATTAAGAAAAATTAGTGAGTTGTTAGAAGAAGTGTGTCTGTCAATATGGTAAGCTCTAACCTAACAAGGGCACCGCGTCAGAGGATTCTGGCAACACTTCTGCCAACCGCAATAGGTAAACTACTTGTGAAAGCAGTATTGCCACACCTGTAACACAAATAACGTTAAAAGTAACCTATATTTGGTACTATATTAACTTATTGATGAGAGTAAATGCACAAATGATTAAACTTAAATTTATGACAATTATCAATTTATATTCGGCTTTGTCACGTTTATAATCTATTATCATGATTATTGAAAAACTATTATAAGTGGACAAGAAGGACTGTAAAATATATTTCATAACCTTTCATTGTTATCATAACACTAATAAGTACTGTAAATGTTTTATTTTTATTTTATCGATATTCCAAATACTCATGTAAAAATATAAAACAATTATTCCGTATAATATTTAAATTTCATACAGAATTCAAGACTATGTTAAGAAAATAGTTTATTTCTTCAATCGTCTTTTATATATGTATTACAGGTTTTAAATACATGAGTTTTTAAATCTCGATAATAATTGAATATCAAAACGTATCCAATCTGAACTCATTATTTAAATAATTAGTTGAATTAAATTTAATGGACGTCTCGTCTGGTGTCACAAGCTGTATTAATTGATTATATTATGTTTTACACCTAATTTTTAATGGATCTGAAAAGGCAAACAAATACAATCACAAACTGCAAATCCACATCGATATCAATATGCAAAAAGACACACAATTATTATTGTTCAAAGAACAAAACAAACATAATATGTAAAAAACGTCTAAGACAATAAAAAAAGAGATAAAAGTGAAGTGAGAAAAAGCACTCGAGCGAAAGAATCAAATGGAGTATAATAGGTACACTGAGACAAAGCCGTATCTATTAAAGTGTTTTATTATTGAACTATTTAAAATTTATTATTATGATAGCAGTATATAAAGGTTTTTTTCAAGTATACGGCTTGGCCTCTAGTGTTTTTTATTTTATAAAATAGAAATCGTACAAAATCAATTAAAACAGGAAGTTTTTTTTTTCTAAATGCTGTTAATTAATAAGTTTTGATTCATTTACTTCGATTATCTTAAGAAATCATTTACATAAATTAATCTTATACAAGTTTAATTTGTTATTCAGTTTTAATAAGCTTATTTAATTTCATGATAAAAAATAGATTTCTATTACAAGAAATGTTTGAAAGGAACGAAAATAATGAACTAAAAAATGTGTGTAAGTATAAGTAAATGTATATTATTAAATACAAACAAATAAATACATAAACATATGAATTACTAACATTGATATTTTTCGTAAGTGCATTTAAATTTGATTTTGGCCATTTAATCGGTATATTTGTATCGGCCGGCTAATTCGACCACTTATATAATTGATTATCTGTGATAGGTTTTGTACGATTTCTAATTATTATTCATTCAAATGGTAAAAAGTATAAATTCTATTCAAAATATAAATAGAAATATAAAAATTAAAAATTGTAAATATCACTAACTGTCACAAGAATTGGTTTATATTTTGGGAGGAACAGGGTAATTTTATGGTACCTAGCAAGGGTATCGCGTCGGAGACTTGTGGAAGCGTTTCCGCCACCAAATTCAGGAACACTGTCAGTGATAGCAAGATGGTCACTCCTGTAACAACCAATTTATTTTTATGACCTAGAAAAATACACCTGGGAACAATTTTTTGATATAACAATGTTTTATTTAAAATTTAATAAAATGTTGTTCCTATTACTATTCATAACAATTATATATTTTATAATATTTTGGAATGCACATATATATATACGTATATGTGTGTATAAATATATATATATATATGTGGCTTGTCCAACGAAGTGGTTCCTCCAAGTACCAAATGACAATGACATTTGTCATCATGCAAGTTGATATTTTTTCTTAGTCCTACCTATTAGGGGAACCGCTTCGGACGTAGTTGGCATTGACTCGGCAACCAGATTCAGAAACACTGTTAGTGACAGTAGTATAGTTATTTCTGAAATGAACACTTAAATTATTTATTTCTAATCTGATTGAATGGGCTTGTACATGATCCATATGAATACATTTGATGTTAAGGTCTTAATAAAAATGATAATTTAAGACTTCAAGCGTAAAAAGCGATTTCCATGAAATACATAAATGTTTAAATAGATACATTTTTTCTCCTTCTCAAAAAATCATTTTATATGAAGACATAATATATTACGTATAACATATATTTATGAAGTTTTATTTCAACCGCTTGTTAAAATATTTTAATGCAGTTAATTACATTGTTTAATACGTATTTAGTTATGTGAATTCATGGATATAATATTTTTGGACCAACATTATTGGATCCCTTGAAATGCATTTAACTAATTAAAATGTATTTAGACGCATACGTATTATGTAAGAAGATTAAAATTAATGCGTTGGAATGATGATCTTTCAAAACGGCATTATAGTCCACCGGTGTAGTCAGGTAGTGGAGTTCGTTGCAGTGGTAGTAGTGGTAGTGGTCGTTAAAGAAATAATTCGAAAACCTAAACAAATATATTAATACACAACACAAGGATTTGTAACGACGTACATCATCGTGTATACATAATCACAAAATCTCTTGATCCTTGTCCGTAAAAAGCTCGAAAAATTCGTATTGGATAATTATCGCGAAAATAAATCCATTACTCTTGATGGCTACAAAGGGCTCTCTCGAACATGACATGTATACGCCAGCCATGAATTACACATATTATTATTAACGGCATCTGAAAATCCTCGCATTCCTTGTCTCTGTGTTTATTTAGGTGCTGACGAAGAATAAATTGTTTATCTCATTTATATTTTTTTATCCTTGAAAACCACTGCTATTTTTTTTTTATCCATATATTACGTGTAAAAACGCACGCATTGACATTCGTACACACATACACATACACACACACACACACACACACACACACACACACGCACACGCACAGACAAACTAACACACCCACGCACTCAAAAACACACCCGCGCGCCCTAATATTCACTGCATCCAGTTCGCTGTAATAACATTTTTTCTTTGATATAGCTAGATTCGGCGTCGTGTCCCCTTACCTAGTGTGAGCTTTTCTCCGCAGTCCGGAGGCAGCGTGAAGCCCAGGAGCGCCATAGACGAGATCAGCACGCACGGCACGATCAGGTTGAAGAAGTAGTATAACGTCCTCCGCCTGATCTTTATTGTAAACGTGATGTCCACGTACGGTTCGGGACAACAGCCGTACATTATCACGTTCTTTTTGCCGGGCATTCCTGTAACGTGACGTATTTTAACGGACATGCACTATAAAACAACAACGCGCGCACAATCAGGTGTTCCAGGAGAAAATGAAAATTATAATGAGATTTTATGTCGTGATTGATGTGTCCGGAAGACATTGCGCGTTGCGTTAAAAATGCAGCGTTGCTTTTGTATCGTAGAACCGTGCAAACAGAGCATTTGTATGATATGCTCTAAATAACATTTTTACCGAGGTGATATGCAATTTTAACGATATTGCGCAGTGTTGGTTCAAAGAAAAAAATATTCATACTTTGAACCTGAAGCGGTAAATGCGAATCGATCCTGATGAGTACCGACGACCACCATTTAATAGTACACTTTTACCCTCTGTTTTTATTATTAAACCGAAAGGTTTTCGAATATTCACATCTAGCGTACGTGATAAATTTATGATACCTATAAATTGATACATTCATTTAATCGTTCGTTCGTTTCCTACCACATAATTTTCGGTTTTAATTTTTAACTTTTTATCATGTACTTTACTACTTTGACTAATACGACATTATTAAAATAATTAAAACTATTCAATAATGTGATACGAATATGTTCATCCAACTATCACCAAGTATTTTTTTCTATAAAAGATTATACAGATTATTATTATTATTATTATACATATAAAGATTATTTAGATTATACATCAAATTTTTACAATTATAATAATCTTTCTGTTATATTCGCTATAGTTTATTGGGTGATATACATAGGTGCCACCAGGGATTTTTTTAGGGGGGTACATTATGTATAGAAAATGCTCTGATTCCTAAACTATGCTTGAATTATTTAAATTAAATACGTAGGAATATTTTTTCAAATTGTATGACGATACAAAATTATTTTAAATTTTTTCGGGTGTCTACAAAGTAATGCAGGCTACTAGAAACTCTGATAATGATAATAATAGCCTGTATCCTACATTTTTAAATTCTATTTTTATTTTATTAAATCCAGGGGAATGCAAATGCACTCTTCTAGCATCTCTTTCGCGGCGCTTATGGTGATATATTATATAATTACAGGTCATCTCAGTTTTACGATAGTTATTTTAGCAACTTAATAAAAAATAAATCATCATTTTCTGTGGATACTTACTAAAGTATAAAATTAAAATCACATAATCAGTATTAAAGAAAAAAAAAAATCGAATGGAAAAACTAATTGATTTTTTTACTGAAAAAAAATTAATTATAATATATATTCAATGTAACATTTAATTATAATAGTATTCTTGTTATTTAATTCATATTTGTATCAAACGGAACATTTTGACTTAACTGAAATAATAAAAATAATAGTTATAGAACAATTACTATTATTATAAAAAATATGGAAATTTCTAACTAGCCAATATTTTCTTTTATAAAAATTCAAAGTTGAAATGAGATGAAATTAAAAAAAATTCAAGACACTGCAGTCAACAAATAATAAGGACCTTTTCCGTTAATTCACTACCACTATTTTTCTTTTTTTTTTTTTTTTTTGGTTATTATTCAAATCATATCTACGTTATTACGTGATTTAAAATGCTAACTTTGTGAATTATTGTTTAGTTATAGTATAATATTTTGTATTTGTGGTCTATATATGTGATTTACTCGCGCAGCGAGATTTTAGCTTCACATACAAAGCATAATACCATTTGCAAGAGTATCAAGGCTTGTACAAAAACTAGATTAGGTTTAGACTATACTTCTCATTAGAGCAAAGCCCCATCCTCCGAAAATTTACACGCAGTACTACTCGAGTTGGTGAGTGGAGCCGGCAGGCGTAACGAGCTAAGTCCTACAATTTTTAAAATTAATGTTCCGATTTTTCGAAAAAAAAAAAATGCAAACAATTTTTGTTACAATAAGAGATCAAAACTCGATACCTTCTGCTTCGAATTAAAAGTCATTAACTATTAGACTATGAGGTTAATTTTATTTAGATTAGATAAGATACAGTTTTTAGAGCAATAGAATATTTATCGAGAAAAGGTGAATTAACGGAAAAGATTTAATAATAATAAAAATATAATAATTATAAGGTATTTATATTCTAATATATTTTCATTATTTTGTTTTCAGATGTTCGAAAAACATTAATTATGCTAAAAAAAAAATACGTGAATATACAATTTAATCCTAGCTCTAAGAATTACATAATAAGCATATAATTATTATAATATTGGTTTCGATATAAATAAACAATAATATAGCAGAATTCAATAATTTTAATTATTTAGAGTATATTTTTTATATCTGACGATAATTTCTTAAATCAAAACGAGTCATGTATATTAATACTTTAATAATACTTAGGTATGACTAAAAAATGTTAACTTTATATGTCAAATACTATATTTTTAATAGTTTTAATAAATTATTTATATACTTAATAATTCTTATTGCTTCACGGTTTTTATATTATATTCCAACTCAGTTCTAAGGTAATATATTTTGAACCTTTAGAAGCAACTGATGTGTCACAATAACTGATCAACTTGATAAAAACAAGAACTATACGCACGGAAATTAAATTGAAAAAAGGTCATTCAATATCAAATACAGTGGGTACAAGTTACGACAGAATATTAAAAACAACACATTGGTGAAAACTAAAGTGAAAAGTGAGAAAAAATTGAATGAAATAACCCAAAAATGATAAAATAGTTTATTTTCTTTATTGATAAGTAAGGTTTCAACACCTAAGGTTATAAGCCAATATAACAAGAATTGTTGCTAAATATTTGGCACTGTAAGGACTTTGAGATCATAATGAGAATATGCAATAAGAAGGATGTAATGAAAGTATAATCAAATTAAAAATGAATGTATTGGCTGGTATAATTGTTTATATTAATTATATTGTTACGAAACTAAAATAAAAAGATACATTTTTACTTAAGAATTATAGTTATAATATATAATTTATAATTATCAACTATAAAAATTATTTTCTTAAAAATATTAACTTAAACGTATATATTTCTTGAAAATATAAAATTATATGTTTATATAATATGATTTAAGTTTTGATTACTTTACTAATCAATTAATTTAAAATTTAAAACCATACTCGCATAGCTTTTTAAGATAAACGTAGTATAAAAATGCATATCATTTTTTTTTAATCCAATATGCTATTTAAATGCGGAAAAATAATTCTTAAAATCAAACAATATTATGAACAAAATATTCAACTATTCAATCTATACAGATAAATTTAATCAATTTCATAAAACAATAATAGTAGAAAACCAGATAACAATAGGAATATTTTTTAATATTGAAATAAATTATAACGATACATATAAATCTCTTAGAAATTATCTTCAATCATATGAAATTGATAAATTTTGCGTGTGACCTATGAACATTTTTCATAAATAATAAAAGTTTAATGAAGTGTAGATACATTAGATAAGAATGTAACATACGAAGAAACTAGCATTAAGTTTTCATTGCTAGATTTTGGAACCCACAGGACTTATTTAGTGCAATATATTGGTTGTGGTGTATCGGTGCATCTTTTAAATTTACAGTATTTTATTCGATAGGTTTATTTGGATGTGTTACGATTACGTATGGACCTTTTACATAATTAGAATTGTGCACGTTCTACTACATACCCAAACTTAGTGCAACGTTGCCGTTGATCACAACCGTGACCATTTGAAATATATAACTTATTTTTAGAAATTATTGCTTATATTTGATAATTTCATATATATTCTGTGACTATTATTCTTAGGCAAATACTTTTTGATAATCTATAAAAAACAATATTTTTTAATAGCCAAGAAGAGAAAGCATAAGCAATCGTATAAACATATGCAATGGTGCTAAAAAAAGGGACTACTGTACTTAATCGTATATCACTAGTTTATTTCATCAGTTAACGTCATTTATTTTGATTTTTCATAATTTGAAATATCTGCTTATGAATTGTATTGTAGTCATATTTATTGATTTTTTTTTCCATTACATTAAAACTATTAGTTCAATTATACTCAAAATTGTAATTTAGTGTTTAGTTATGTATGGTTCAATTATTCCGATCACGATCAAACATTTTTAATTCTACTATAAATTTATCTTTAAAATTGACTGATCAGTTTTCAAAGGATAGCGGAAAATTTTTTGATGGTCCCATTCTAATTCAATAATCATATATATTCTCAAAATATTTTATTTTTTGGTTAAAATTACCAAAAATATATATTTTGTTGTTAAATTTGGTAACAATTCAATTACATTTTTCTCTTAAGTTACCTTTATAATTTTATGTCATAAAACTTGTGGAAATTATAAATGATAAAATAACTATTTGTAATTTTAAAAATAAAGGTAAAATAAAATCTTGTACATAACAAAATGCGCCATATTTTTTTTTTTTTTTTTTTTTTTGGGGGGGGGGGGGAGGAGAGAAAATCTGAATAATATTAATTTAATGAGTGTTTTAAAGGCTGAACACATGTGATATATTATAAAATGAATAAGCAATCAAGAACGATAATAATATATTTGAATGTATGTAGCTTTATAGTACATGTGTGATAATTTAGTTTAATTAATAGTATTCAATTGAATTTATTATTATGCAGTATACCTGTAGAATATTAAATATCTAAATTGCTTTTATGATTTATGACTTCTTCTGTTTTTGTTTTTACATTGTTATTTATAAAATATAATCTAATTTTATAATTGCGAAAATGTTTTTATTACAGAGTAGTAGTATAGTGGTTTAAAAAAAATCTACACGTTTAGATACAGTGAAGTATATAATTTATTAGATAATCAAATCCAAGTAAGATTTTGTTTCAACAGCATTCTAGCAAATTAATGGGTGACATTTATTTTCAATTTATAAAAATAATCGCCTATTTTTATAGGACGATCGAAACCTCAAGATTTTTCAAAATATAACTGTACAATGAAGTTCAATAACATAAACAATTTTATGAAAATATTGAAATGTTGAGATAGTAATAAAGTTATAACAATTAATTTTCTGAAATAAGAATTTTTTATTTTTTGCACAATTTCGGTAGTTAAACATATTAAATTTATTATTTAAATGTATTAAAATAAATCAAAATAAAATAATATAGAAGAGTGATCCCATGATTAAATGTGACTATAAAATATAAAATTATATATTTATTTAGCTCTTTGTTTGAATAAAAGTAAAAAAATTAAATAAATAGAATAATATTTACCTAGCAAATACCATTCACCGTTCGTCGTAAAGTCTGATAGATCTCCACCATCCGATTTGAGCACTAAATCCAACTGAAAATATATATGAATAAAATATTATTAGAGATTCATACTATAAATAATGTGTTTAATTGTACAGCTACACGGTATTAAATCGTTTTAAAATGGTTGCACTATTTCAACATTGTTTAGTTTATACATAGGCAATGTGTACTAGGCCTGAACACTGGTTCTAAATTCTATCAGGAAAAATTAAAAAAAAATCATCCTACCTACAAATGTAATATTTATTTTAAAGTTTTTTATGTCCACTGCGTAAATAACATTTAATATATAATATTTATAATGGTATTATTATTTTAAGAGACGTAAAAACAATTATAGTATTTTACACTCTAATTATTTTTTTTTTTTAAATAACTGAGAAGCCGTATTTTTATGATTTAAATTAAGTTTTAACTGCATTAAATGTAATTTATATCACGATTATTTGACTTATGAAAAACTTATATGAAATAAATTATAATACGTAAACATGTATTATTAGTATTTATACAATACAATAAATATTTTAACAAATGTTTTATTTACTATATTATAATCTAAAGCCAATAAGGTTAGTAATAGGTGGAATCTCAGTGAAATCGTGAGTCCCAAATATATTTAATGATGTGAAATCATGAAAGGATCAATACAATGTTATAATTTAGTGGACTGATGAAAGTGACAAGATATTTTCTCAAGCAGCACATTAAATAAAGAGTTATATAGTAACAAACTGTTGAACTAATGAGAAACCCACTACTTAATTAATTCAAGCTCGATATGCGGAAACCCCAATAACTCGAATACGATTATATGTTATTCATAACACATGATAAAAATTCATACTTTTGTAAATTATCATTAATAGATTAAGTAGACGTTACTTTTTGTAAAGAATCCTAAATCTACGTTTAGATTATTTAAATGTTGGGTTAACAAGTATAGGATATTTATTGAAATAAGTGTATTTAATAATGCATTTATTTTATTTTTTTCGGATTTTATATCTTTTCCTTTTTACTCGTAAAAATCATATGTTTTATAGATCATTCTTCACTCAACGCTGATCAAAGTTAATGCTATAACAATCATACCCTATATCTTATTGCTCAAAATGCATTCAACATTTTATATTTTACATATTATTATTCAACTGAAACTATGTTTCCTTAAAAATGTAATTTACTGAAAGGCTATACAAACCTTTATCAAAACAATTACATATGCATGGTTGCATTTTTTTGTTTATTAATTTCACCTGAAGAAAAAAAATACTATTTGCTATGCTTAAAATTCTCTGCTTACTACAAAAATTATATCATATATTTTTTATTATATTTTTAAATATTCAAATAAAAGTTTGATAATATTAAGCTCCTTAATATGTTAAATATTCTATCAAATTAACATATATTTATTTTTCAATATTAATTAAACGAAACCACAAAATAATAAATAATTTAGAAAAAAAAAATTGAATAAAACTTCTTTTTACTGTTATTACTTAGTTTTTTTATATCAATTGATTGAACTTTTTCAACTCATTACATTTTGATATAACATAATTTAGTATACTTTTAATTTATGTAAAAAACTATAAAAGTTTAAAACAAAAGAGTTACAATAAAGACAATTAACCATTTTAGTGCCTGTATTTTATTCTTATGATTAAATAATTGAAAACACAAAATTATTTATTTTCATTGAAGCTAATTTCACTTGTGATTGTTAATTTAATTATTCTTGGAGATAACATTTTTTTATTGATAGTTTAATTTTTGTAGAAAAAAAATGTTAACATGTTTTTATTTTATTTTTAATTCAATTTATTTATTTTATATACAATCAATTGAAATGTAGTATAAAAGAAAACAATGAAATGAGCTTTTTGTCTAATACATTTTAAAAATTTTAATAAATTTAAAATTTGTATTGAATTTCAAGTTTTGTTAAAACCTTAGGTTTATTGTTTTGAAAGTTAAAATATTTGAGATAGCATTCTTTATACTAATTTTACATTATGACAGTGAAAATGTGTATATATATATATTTTTTAAATTTTAAAATGATTTAATTATTTAATTATTTTCATTGTGATACTCGGATGAATGAGTATATAATGTGTACTTTATCACAAAAAATCAGCTCATGTGTTATTTTATGTTTTAAAATTGAGAATGATTATGTTTTTAATAATTTTATATATTAACTCATGATACTATTAAAATATTTACTCAATATTCGTTAATAATAATATTTATTCAATAAAAATTTAATGGAGCACGGTTAGATTTAAATAATGGAAAAAATAATAAACTATTAAATTAATTATTAATAAATAATTAGTTTGCTTACCAATATTTAAAAAAAATCAAATCCCATATTTATAACAAAACAAGTTTGATACTTATGTTTAATTTACGTTATAATAATATATTGTAAACAATTCTCTGTATTATTAGTTGGTTGATGATTGTAATCTATTCGTTCAATTTTAATATAATTTATTTTAACAGTTTTTAATGTAATTATAATTTAAGAAAGGTACATTTAACGAAAACGTAAAAAAATAAAATATATAGCATGTAACATGGAAGTGTAATAAAAATGCAAATTCATTGATGATAAAAGAAATTTAAAATAAAATAATTTGTAACAAGTTATGAAGACTTTTTCCCATAAAAGTTCAACAGTATTTTTATAAATGAAAACAATTTTATTTTAGTATGCTACACACTTTAAAGTATTTAATGCAAAGCACGTTCGTTTTAATTAAACTATATTAAAGGTATCACGTATGTGATACAATATATTATATATCCCTAAATAATAAGTACAATGAAATAAGCATAATATCATATACACACACACACGCGCGCGCGCGCGCGCGTGCACATACATATATATATATAGTGTGCGTGTGTGTATGTATATACTTTTATAATACTGTTAATTTATTTATTCAGTTTGGAAATAGAATAAGGAGAATAGTGAAAACGTGCTTGAGGGTACAACATCGTACACTTTTGTCTTAGTGGGATAATATTAATTAATAAATTTATCAATATCACTACGAGAAACTAAAACAAAGTAAAATGAAACTGGAAGTATTATATATTATGTTAGTTGTAAGTTAAAACATTTAAATTATTTATTTTTTTTTTTTGTTTTCGTATGTAAGATTAGAGGTTTAATCATTAACAAAATATAGTACATAATAACTAAATATAGATGCATTTACCTGAAAACCGTTGTAAGTCCAACTACCAAATTTCATAATGCAATTTTGGTCATCGAATGGGAACCATGTGATGTCAATTTTACACGTACTTTTAAAAATACCAGGTGGAATATATAGGCATGTACCATTATGTCTGACTACCACATTTGTTTGATAAGTACCATCGAATTTCTCGTCAGCACTGTAAGCATTAAAATTCACACATTACATTTAATAACTGGACGCTCATAGTCCAAAACAATAAATTCACTATTATTAAGTACCAATTAAATAATTAGCATTTACTAGACATTTTTATTTTCTTAAAATATGTACTAAAAATACTTTGTATTTGATCATAAATAACAAATTTCATTGTATTACTAAAATGTTGTATAAAAGCTACTAAACTTATATTTAAAACATATTAATTAACTATAATTTTAATAACCCAAAAAATCATATTTTTATTTCATAAATATTAATTATCAGTATTCAAATGGGTTTTTATAGAGATTATTAGAGTTGTTATTTCTGAAATCAATTAATTAGTTTTCCGATTTATAATAAAATAATATACACAATTTTTTTCAACTAATGATTTAGGTTAAACTAGGTACGTATATATTTTATATTATATAAGCAATTCACACTTAATGATAATTGTATTGATATAATGTATAATATATTTTTTTATTTAATTAAGCTTCGGCATCTACGGCCATTGGCATACAGTGTGTTATAAAGGATCACATTTTCTTAAGATACATTATTTATAATGTAATAACTTAATATACATACTATACAAGTTACAGATTATATAATATTGATGAGATTAGTCTTAATTAAAAAGGTAATCATGTGGTTTATGTTATCTGGGTGGAGAGCTTCTGACACAACATTTAATAACTCTACTTCCCATTTATCTGTTTCGTATAAAAGACATTCGGATATGATGTGTTTGATTGAGAGGGGTATACCGCAACTGGTATATACAGAAGGATCTTCCTTCTTCATCAAATATTAGTACGTTAACAAAGTATGTCCTATTCGCGTTCTGTTGATTGAGGTTTCCATTTTCCTTGTAAAATTAGGTGGAAAGAGCCATGAGTGGATGGTATTTTTGATCTCATTTAATTTTGTGTTGCCTTGTTTCCATTCCCGTAGCCATATGTTTTTTCGAGATTATTGTTATTATGACTTTAGCGACGTGTAGGTTAAACAATCAAGTCTGGTAACATCAGAGGAGGTTATTGCTAGACTTGCTTTTTCATCAGCTCTTTCATTTCCCAAAATTTAATTGTGATTAGGAATCCATATCAGGGTGATTGAGTAGTCAGAATGAATAAGATCGTATAGTTGATTTTGAATTTTTCTGGCAATCTCATTTGGAGTGGAGATGTTTTCAATACTCCTCAAGGTACTTAGTGAATCGCTGAGGGTTACTGCTTTTTGTATTAATTTTGCTTTTATGCAGTCCAAGGCAAATTAAACTGCCACTGCTTCAGCTGTGTATATGGAGCAAAAATTAGGTAGTCTTAACATGTAAACATCGTCCTGGATTACTACAGCTGCTCCGACACCATTTTTCATTTTGGAGCCGTCAGTGTATATTTTGTTATATTCTTGAAAATTGGAGATGATTGAATATAGATATTGATTGTAAGTTGAGGGTATGGTGTTGTTGTTAGAAAATGCACTTGGTTCTGTGTTGATCTATTTGTTAGGTATCCAACGGGAAGTCCGTATGATTTCTTTTTTGATAATGTTCAAATATGAGAAAAGGATGTCTTTTATGGTGTCTGCAATTTGTTTTGATACTTTTAGGTTGTTTTGAGTGCATCTGGTTGCCAGTAGTATGGAGCTATGAACTCTTCTGATGTCAAGAGAAGCTACTCCGGCTGTATCAAGCACGCTTGGAATCGGGCTGAAGCGAAATGCTCCCGTGACAAGTCTTAGTCCCGTGTTATGTACAGTATCAATCATTTTAAGTACTAATACCTTAGCTTTTGTAAATAAGAATGAGTTGTATTCGAGATTAGATAGTATGAGTGCTTTATATATTTGTAATAAACTAGAAAAGTGACTTCCCCACGATTTGTGAGCTAGATATTTTAGGATATTTATTCTTATAAGTGAGTCTTTTCAAACACTCTTGAAGTGAGGAATCCACGTGTTTTTTGAATCGAACAGTATTCCTAATATTTTTTTGGATTTTTTGATTGGTATATGGATATTGTCCATTATTATGGTGATGTTACCGATATTATTTTTATTAGTAAAGAAAATACATCGAGACTTTTCAACTGAAAAAGAGAAACCTGAGACAAACGTTTAGGCATGCAGTGCTGATATTACATCCTGTAGATAGTTTATGGTTTTGTTTGGATTGATGCCTCTACAAAATATATTGAAGTAATCGGCAAATAGTGAGCACATAACTGGAGATTGTATAACTTGTGGTATATCATTGATTGCTAAAAAAAATAACGAGACTGATAGTGTGGATCCTTGTGGTACTTCGTTATTTTGGACATACATTTACGATAGTTTTTCGTTGCACTTAATAAAGTTAAATAAATTACCATTACGAAAAATGTTTGACAGTATTTTTAGAATACGGGGACACCATGTGGTATCAAACACTTTTGAAATATCAAGAGTCATGAGGCCCATCATTTGTTATGTTTCGAGAGTTGAATTTATTTCATCTTGTATGTCGTGTAATGAATGGTGCTTCTATATTCCCGGAAACCATTCTGGTGGAAATTCAAAATATTGTTTTTTCCAGAAACCATTTGAGTCTTGAATCTATAATTTTTTCCAGTATTTTTGCCAAGGTATTGAAGAGTAATATTGGTCTGTATGATTTAACTTCAAATTTGTTTTTTTTTGTAGTTTAAGTATTAGAATGATCATGGAGTGTTTCCACTTTTGTGGTATAGATCCGAAAGACCATATTTTGTTGAATAATTTGATAATTGCATTTAAGGCAGACTTAGGGAGGTTGTGTATAAATTTATATGGTACCTCATTTGGTCCTGGGGCGACACTATAACATTTTAATAGGACTCTGCTGATAATATCTCATTGGATTGGAAAGTTAAATTTTGTCTGTTTGTCTAGGTGAGGATTAATATTGGATATATAATGTTCGTTTCTCATGTGTACGTTATTTTCGAAAAAAAATGTTGTTGTAGTTTTCATCTGAACTATTATGGTAGAAGAAGTCAACTAAGAGGTTGGATATTTTGTCGGGATCGATGCATAATTCAGTATCTTTCATAATGTGTATGTATTGGTTCTTGGAGTGGCCGTGGAGTGACCCGACTCTGCGCCATATCAAAGATTGGTCAGCCTTAGGTCCCAAACTAGAAGCGAAGGTTTTCCAAGAGTCAGTCTTACCTCTTTTAACTAAGAATCGAGTTTTAGCTCTGAGCTATTTAAGTTTAATGAGGTTGAAAGTGCTTTTTGAGATTTGGAATGTTTTGAGTGCTTTGTTTTTTTTATTTGATTAAGTCTCTTATTTCGTTACTCCACCAAGGGACTTGATTTTTCGTAGCTGAGTTTGAGTTTTTTCCTATTTAAGTTTCTGCAGTTCTGATAATGGACTCGGAAATGAAAATGGTACTGTCTTCGATTGTACTGGTATCAGATTGTAGATTTTCTTGCATAAATTTGTCAACTAATGAGCAAAAGAAGTCCCAGTTCGGGTTTTTTTAACTTCCTTCTGTGTGTGGAAGGGGTTGGCGGTGTTTTGGTGGTAAGTAAAGTTATAAGTATAGGTAAGTGGTCACTGTTATATATTTCATTTGGAACTGACCAGGATATTATCTGTGCGACACACTAGTGAAGAAAAGGTCCATTATAAAAAAATTACCATTTGATGGAATAAGTCTAGTTGGTTCGTCGTTGTTGAGTAGTATTATTGTATCATTATCTAAAATGTTATCCATTGATTTTTCTCGGGCATCTGTTGTATTTGAGCCCAATATTTACTGTAGGAATTAAAGTCTCCAAATTGATTTCGAGTCACGAATAATTTTTTGTTTATTTGTTGAAGTATTTTTTGTGAAGATGGTTCTGAATTAGACAAGCTTGAGTGATTACGTTTATTATCATTAATAGAGGGTTTCTGCGGTGGCTTCAATTTAATTAAATTTGAATTTATTGTTTTGTTTCTATTATTTTGATTACGATTATTCATATTTAAATGTTTAACTGTGTTGATTTTATAAGTTTTCCGAACTACAAATTCGAGTTAATTAGAAAGGAGTATCGTAGATTAAATCACGGCTATACCTTGTAGTGAGATTAGGTATATTATATAAGCACGTATTACGATACGTAGGTAATTAGTAAATTTGAATCTATTTTTCACAAAAGAAAGTTGGTTTGTGCAGCTAGTTGGCACCTTGGGGTCAATATTTTTTTTAAAAACTGCACTGATTGATATAAAATACAAAAAATAAGTACAAATTTAAAGGACACTAATTTAAACATAACACATGTGTTTTCAATTTGGTTGTCCACTTATGAACTGTAACGAAGATTTTAAAATGGTTTTTACTGATAATAACTCCATGATTATTATTATTATTTATATATATATATATATATAATAGCATGCTAAAGTATATTTAGTGTTGAATATAATGTTGTACATAAATGTAACACATATTATTTTATTTTAAGAACGAAATTCGATTCTTTTAGCAAACAGCATATTTGATCATAATATATTATATTCTCTAAAAGTAATAGCATGTGGTCTAATAAATATAGTTCAAAAAGTAAAATATTTAAATAGTCCTTTAAAGAACTTATTTTTGATTTTATAAAATGTTTAAAGTCAATCGATAAATATCAATAAAAGCATGTATATTCAAATAATTACAAAGAGTTATATTAAAAATCGATCATTACGTTATATTGTGAAATTGTTGAATATTTTTATTCATCGGGTATGTTATTAATATTATTGTATTTAAAATATATTCAGATTTGTAATAAATTAATGTTTGTTATTTTTTGTATCTATATCAAAGTTTATTTCACTGTAATTCTTAACTAATGTTATTCGTTAAAAAAAAAATTCACATTATTGTCTTTTAAAATTACTATTGTTTAACTGATCTCAAAAATTAATTAAATCAAATGTTTCTGTTTTATAGTTTTAAATTAACATATTTATACCATGTAAATGACAAAACATTTTTTTGGTTATTTAAAAACCTTCTCATAATATCATTAATTTGAGCAAATTATTATTTAATTTTGTTTTTTTTGTGAAAATTTAAGATTATAGATCGCATAGTGTTAAATGCTATTATTCTGGGTTAAAAAACTCTAGCATTTAATACCTCAGTAAATTATTTTATGGACAAAAGACACATCATTAAAGTAACGCTTTGAGGACAATGTAAGTAAATTACAGCACTTAGTTTTACTTCCTATTGATTTTTCCACCATACTTAACTTAAATGACATCATCCTTAGAAACTTCCTTAGAATATTTTGTACCTCATCATTTAAATTATTGTGCCATTGATTTTGAAAAGATCCAAATATATCATACAAACGTACAATCAAAAAAATCCTAAAGTATTACAACTTAAGAAATCTGTAGTCATTGTTATAAGCATTGGTGTATTGGTATTTATACTTATGAGTATCCACATTAAAAAAATATGGATATTAATCCTATATAAATGTTTTCGCTTCGCTTGAAATTTTTTTTTTTCTTGCTATGCTCAAATAAAGCAATCTTCAACAGATAAATATTTCATTCAAACTTCATGGTTCATAACAATATTTTTCAATGAACTATTAAATTTGTGTTATTTGGTTTTTTAGTTATTTTAGGAGCGTATATCGGTAAAATAATATTTTACATTTTGTATACTCCGAAAATCAAAAATATGCTAACGGGTTATGATCGATCTTTTGAATAGATCTAAATCAGAATGAAAAGATCGATCCAAAAAAAAGATCGATTCGCCCATCAAAAAATTGCTCATCACTACTGACGGGTTAACGGCATGGTATTGGGACGAAATATCCAAGAACAAAATATCCTGTAATAAAATGTCCAAGTCAAAATATCCAATTAAAAAAAAATTATAAAAATATATTTTATTTATACCTGTATATATTTTTTTTTTATTTAAATATATTATTGTTCATTTTTAGATCACATTTTAATAACATTTAACATTAATAATACTTTATAATACAGTTATAAAATAATATTAATAAAAATAATATGTTGTGTTATATAATAATTATGTCTTTAGTTTTATGTAATGCGTTACAACGTAACATAGTTTTATTTTTACTATTACTATTTTATTACTATATTATAAAATATTAAATAATGTTAATTTTGATTTAAAAATGAACAATGTGTCTAAATAAAAAATAAATAAAAAAATTAAAAATTATGTACAGATATACAGATTTTTATTATTTTTCATTTTTATACATTATCCATTGGATATTTTAGCCTTGTATATTTTGACTTGGATATTTTAGTACAGGATATTTTGTCCTAGATTCAATGGCATATACCCACTTATACGTACAAATACACCCCAGCTCATAATATTCTAAAGATATCGACAAATACTCAATTTATGTAAAGATATGTATTGGAAAAAAAAAAATTAAGTCTAAACTATACATTCTTTAATATATTATTGTTTTAGTTAAATAGTTAGTATATAGTAGAGTTCTTAACCTTGAACGTGTATTAAGATTCTCGTGATCATGTATTTTTTTGCTCACGTATACTTAAATTTGAAAATTCATGAATTTAATTCACGTGTTATTAATTAGTAAATCATAGACGTTTATTTAATGTGCGAAAAACCAAAAAATAAATATAAAAAAAACATTTATAACCACTATTCTAAAAATTAATGTTTCATTAATAATATTATTGTAAAATGACGGGATGGATGGATTAAAATATGTATTACGCACATGACTGTGATGTGAAAATTTCTACAAATAGTACGAAGTTCGTTCTATGAACCGATAATAATAACATTTCAAATGTAATAATAAACGCATGATTTAATAAAAAAAATGTATGTGAATTTATTTCACGTTATTGCTTACATGAATTTCACGTGTATCCGTGTATTTAACTACACGTGAAATAGAGACATGTAGTAAACAGTACATTCAATGTCCAGTAAATACATAGATTCTTTTACATGCGTGTCTGTACAAAATCTAATATATTTATATTTTAGTGCACAGATGTTCCTGATTATCATTTACATTTTTACTAAAACTCAAGAAATTTTTTAGAACTAATCGTGGTCGAAATTATCATTAAAATAAAGATAAACCATTGCAGCCATAGGGATATAGGGAAAATTTTAAACAATGTTTAGTAAAATTAATTTTCTTAAACTATACAAAAAATTACTATTAATATTTTCTTTAACATTTTTTTTTTAATTATAATAAATCATTTTTAAAAATGTATTTATATAATTTTCATCTATAGAATGTATATAGACAATATATTTATTATTTGATGTATGCACTCGTATACAGAATTGTAAATTTTTTTTTTTTAAATATTTTCAACTGTCGTAGATACAACATATGATACTGTGATGTAATTGTACTATTTAGGTACTCCTACTAACATATTTATACTGCTATTGGTTTTATGCGTCAGTACCGCATTATATAATGGTAAAATAACTACAAACTAGACATACCATAGTACGTATTTATATAAATAACTATTACTTATTATTTAATGGTAAATTAATTAATATTTCAGTATAAACATGGTTTAACATAATTTTAAAATGCTTACCTGTTGTACATAAGTATGTCCGGTTTCCACAGTCGATTAGGATTGAGTCTGAGGTCCTTGACACCTCCGTACTCCGAAATGTTCCACCTCATATTGTAATCCACCCATTCCTAATAAGAGATAATGATGTATTAAAATTTAGCTAACTGATCTATCTAGTATAGCCTAATCCTTAATATTTATTATTCGTGTACATGAAACTACCTATGATTGAAAATTACATCGTTTAATTAAACATTAATTACATCGTACAAATTAATTTTCTAAATAACTTCTCTCAAAAGGTTATAATCGTAGATTATGTTATACTACTAGTTGTCACAATATCTTCTTATTTTAATCGAACCTATTTTCTAAAAATGTCCTATGTAATGGATTTCAACAATGTTAAGGATTTTATATCTAATGGCTTAAACTACATTCAAAATCATGGAATATTTATTTGATTATAAATCAATATTTCAAAACAACTGAACACTATCTGCTTGAATAATACTATGCATATCGATAGATTTTTTTTACTTATGAATTTTAACCCCCTCAAACATTGTAGTAAGTTTCTTGTAAAAAAAAAATAAAAATTAAAAATATGTTTGTGTACGGTAAATACATGGGCGGAACAAGGGAGTGGAAGATGGGAATTTATCTCCGGACGTAAAATTGCAGAGGGTGTAATTTTTGTAATTATTAACTATTAATTTGATATTATTAACTTTGTTAAATAGGTACTGATATTAGGTTAAAACTTATTAAGTATGATTGTATAATTATTATTAACAATTCTCAAGAAGAGTATTTAATTATTGGTCTATGATAGTGCGTAATTTTAACATTTTCCCCTGGCGTAAACATTTCTAGTTCCACCTCTGGGTTAATATAATTTATAGATGTTTAATAATGCTACTAATGGCATATTGTATCATTACTGGTGGAAAACAAAGTACAATTTTCAAATTTAAAATTTTGAGTATGAAAAACTAGACATTTTCCCTAGCAGGGTAAATCATTCAAACATAGACAGCTTATTTAATTAGAAAAAATATTAAAATAACAGTTATAGATTAATATTAAATAAACGCCGCATATTGAAGATTCAATACATTTAACGATTATATAACACGTTAATAATCTTAAAACACGTTCGAATATTGATTCGGTATCGAGATAATTATAGAAAATGATGATAGATTAGATGAGTACATTTTAAATCGATTAAAATATTATATTTGAATGTAGTTTGTATATTTCACCCTATTTGTTGCACACATATTTTGGTCAGTTAAGTAAAATATCAACTGGAAATGTTCCTTAACCGATCAAAACATTATCATTGTCATTGTTCAACATAATTTTTCGTAAAGCATAATTATATATTATAATATAATTACGTATAAAGCTAATTACGTATAAAACTGAATTTCTAAATTACGATACTTATAAGCTATAATAATGAAGATAAAATGTTGCTAAATTGAATGATCTATAATAATAACTTGAGAAATATTAATATACTATGAAATAAATGTATATTAATTATAAATTAATGGCTTGTTTTAAAACTATAGCACAGGATTTATTTTTGAAATATTATATATCTTTATTACTTATCAATTCGACATTTCATTGTATATGAATTATTATTTATAACCATATGCGATACAGTTCTGCTATAACGCTCAACATGCATGCACGTATTTTGCCTAATGAGCTCCGTTATCGCCTTTTCACGTTCTATATGATTTAATTATCTCTCTAATATTGTAGACACAATACATGACACCGATGGCGGTCCGCCTCGTACGCCTCGTACGCCTCGTACGCCTCGTTCTAACAAACGTAATTTATCTAAGTCGTCAACTTCACCAAAAGTTAACGTAAATAAAAAATCAAAAATATTCTTTACACCAAATTGATTTACCGTCTTGGATTCCGATGATCCCAGCAACAGTGTATTCCAATACATTCACTAATTTGTCAGCTCCCAACGAAAAACCAGCTCCTGAAAATCAAGATAACGAGCCGCCAATCCTCAATAAACAAAACGTCACGCCTTCAGCCCCCCCCCCCCGATTTAAATCCCCAACATTACAAATTTCTCCGCCTTCACAAAGGAACTAATAAGATTAACCCGTCCAAATACTTTACCGGTAAGTCAACCACCTCATTTCTCATTGTATACGCTAAGGGTGCACAAAATGACAACACTATTATGAACCATCTCAGGGATACTGAAGCTTGTTTCCATACTATCAACTTATCGTTTATCGCTCATTCAGATACGTATTAAGAAATCTCCACCATACCACATTGTGTACAGAAAATTCCGACGTATTGTCGAAAGAAAGACTTTCTGTGAAAAAAGTCATTAATGTCAAAAATAAAAATAAACACGGTCTGCCACTATTTTTGTTGATTTAAATCGTCATGATAACAATAATGATATTTTTAATATCACTTCGCTACTTAACACTATAGTCAAAATTGAAAAACCCCACCATTTTCGTCGTGGTCCACTACAGTGTTATAATTGTCAAGGCTACGGATATACTGATAATTACTGTCACCATGAATCTAAATGCCTTAAATGCGACGAAGACCATTGCACCGAGGATCGCTCAAAAGACTGAAATACTCTAGCCAAATGTACGCTCTATTCCGAGGATACACGGCCAACTTCAAAGAATGCTGAGTTTACTCGTATTAATCCATCATCAAAAAACGTCAAAAAACTAAACCCACATTATCTCACAACTTCCCTTATTCGAATAATAAAACCTCTGAGTCCCTCCCTGATATTCTTATCAATTCGATAACTTATGCTTCCGCAACCTCTAGTACCCAATCCAACATCATCCTACATTATCCTAATTTAGAATCAATTTTAACGAAATTGCTCTCTGATTTAACTTCTATAATTAATTCTTTTATCATTTCTATATCTAATAAGCAAACAATTTCATAAATAAATTATCTAATATTATCGTTTAACGTAACATATCTTATATTATTTTACTCTAACATTATAATTTACGGGACCACCTAATCGCATATTGGTATTTAGATACCTATACTAAATATATATATATATATATATATTATCTATTCATGTTTATTATTATTATTATCATTATCATTTTAATATTAATTAGTTATTTTTTATCACCATCTACACTTTATTATTACCTGCATTGTCATTATATCTGTTTCTGTATTTAATGTAATTGTCGAACTATAATAGTATTTGCTGAATGTTTTAAATAAAAAAAAAAAAAATAAATAAAAAGCCGTATTCGCCAAGTTTCATTTCATGTCAGCAACACGGACCGAAATTGTATCACACGAAATATTAAACTGACCACTATAGTTTTATGTAGAGACATAGATTTACGTGAACTTTGGATTTACAACAATGATTAGGTGCACATAACATTCGTTCATTTAACATTTATAATTTACTGTTAGGTTCCGTTATTCACTATAACACCAATAATTTTAACCACAAAATATAAATAATACGCAAATACATATATGGATATAAATCTGTATTAGTAACGCTTTTAAGTTAAATTATAGAATTTATACACATAGTTAGGTCAGTATCGTATAGGATCATAATAATATTATGTTCTGATACCAATGTGTTACTAAAATTATTAAAGCGTATCGAAATTAATGACTAATGCGTATTACAATGTGTTTATTAATAATTTAAAAACTATTTCATAGTTTTACTTAAATAAATTGTTTTAGTTTTGCAAAAGATATATTTAAAATAGGAAATAAGATCAAATAACTAGAACTAAAAATCAATTTTATTCATTGAAACAAAATAATTCATTGTTATAGAATTTAGTATTCTAATATTTGCTGTTAACCTTAATTTTGTAACGATACAAAATTTTTTTCAAGTTATTTACTTTTTTAAAATTTTATCGTATTCAAAATAATATTATATATAAATGTACTATCAATTATCACGTGCATGAAGTTGGCCCCCCGACATTGTCTGATCTACTCCGGACCAATGTCAATATTTTGTAACTCATTTTTAACTATTTGTAATAAACTTTTCAGAATTTATAATTCCTTACTTTTGGCGCAATTGACATTTTTTTGATGGGGGGCCAACTTCACATAGCCCTCTGACTTTGTCAGAATGACTCTGGACCAACGCCATTCTTTTATATCTCATTTATAACTATTTGTAACACAATTTTCTGAATTTGTAACTCCTTACTTTGGGCGCTATAAAAAATATTTCATTGGGGAACTTCACGTAGCCTACCAGCGTTTATGAAGTTTCTCCCCTTCCATATGGTCCATATAGTTGACTTCAAAAAAAATTACGATCCCTCACTCCGGGTGTTTTTGAAAAATTTTATTTTTACTTACTATTTTTTAAATTTTTCATTCAGTGTTATTTTTTTTAATTAATAGACATTTGTATTAATTGTGTTTAATAATTGTTTTCATTAATATTAATTTAATCTTATCAGTTTTTAAAACTTCTTAATTTCACCGTAATAGGCTTTTTTAATTGAGTGGAGGATAATTCACGCAGCCCCCTCCCAATTTGTTCTATTAATTTTAAACCTTCACTTATATTTTACCTTATTATCACATAGCGTACTTATGTACCTACCAATTTTTGTTGTGTCTAGTGTAAAATATACTAATTTTCTTGTATATATATATATATATATATATTTTATTATGTTTTAAAGTCTCTTGGGGGGGGGGGATTATTTCAGTCTTTACCCCTTAAATTACGCCTCTGTAATATACTGCAGGGCGAATTCCAAGGTCTTATCATGTTAAATGCTGATGTAAATTTATTATATACGCACCCGGCAGTAGCCGACGTGATTTGACCTGCGGCGACCGTCACCACTTGTAAAATTTGTAGATATTATGCAATAGTTAATAGGAAAATGAATGGCCGATAGATATTTTAAATGTATTCACCTAAAGCCACCAAAAAAGATTCAATACAAAATAGTTTACTTTTTGCTAACAATGTGTTGACACCGGCCATGGGAGCCCATTCACTCATGTCAACGACGTATTGACACTGGCGTTCAATGTTCAAGCATGGATAATGTTTCAATAT